ATATACATATGTATATATCTAATGAAATGTAAAGTATGTAAAACTGGGAGAAGGGAATCACTGCTGGCCTTTGCAGTCCCCCAAAATTTTTTTGTAAACCATATATTGTTATCCTTAATGCAAATTCCCGATACGCCCAGCAGCCTCTGAATTGACTTAATACTATCATGTATCTGTCCATTGTCTACTCACATTCATTTCATTTTTCTCTCTAAAACTTCATCCCACATACTATACTTTGTGTCTTGTAGTTTCGATTGTACAACATCTGTGTTCTTCTTTCTCTCTCTTTTTTTCTTTTGTTTCAAGATATAGTTTGTACAATCATCGCATATTATGCTGTTTCCCGCACGCAATCTTACGTGTTCTTTCCACTTTCTAATTCAGATATTATAATTTCATATTCTTTAGACATTTGTCTTAAAAGACATTTATCTGCAATCTGTATACTGCCACTTCAATCGCATTTAATATATGTAATTGTGCTAAATATTCTTTTATCAATAACAGTTTTTTCCTTTATACACTCAGTAGAGCCGATTATCTTAGTTGATAATTCAATGTCAAACTACACTACAAATGATTACTATACAGTGAAAGAGAAATGTTCGACATGGGATATTTGGGGTCTTTCCTCAGTGTAACTCCCTGTCGCCTGTTGCTTTTCATGTCTTCTGTACATACATCCTCTTCCTGCAAGACTGAATTATTTTTTTTTCAATTTAAAACATTTAATCAATTAATTAGATTTTCAGCACTCTTGTTGCTTGCAGTATTTTTCAACAATTATGTCATTTATGTAATGAATATGTACTTATTCAATGCTCGAACTCTAATATATCAACTTGAATACAGTATTACAGAAGGATGCTTAGATGAGTCGATGTGAGTATGCATGGAAAAAATGTGTTTAAGTAAAATGTCGAAACAAGTCGTAATATTATAATAGTCGGGGAGCGCTGTTGGTTGCAGGCGACGAGTCTTGCATTCCAACTTGGTGTACAAGTAGATGGCAACGATGAGACCGTAGAGACCCAATACTTCTGCGAAGATTAGAATCAAGATCATACCAACAAAGAGGCGAGGTTGTTGAGCGGTACCTCTCACACCTGCATCACCAACAATACCAATGGCAAATCCAGCAGCTAGACCAGAAAAACCTACGGATAAGCCAGCACCCAGATGAACAAAACCCCTAGTAAAAAGACCAAAAAAATTGCTTGTTAACTATGGAGGGAAAAGTAACAATTGATTATGTTGGATATACTAACATTTAGTGAAGCAAAAAGAATTAAAATTAATTAAGCCCCAAACTGAATAAGTAAGAATATGTATAGACAAGCATTATTAAGATTTTTAGAGCAATTAATTTGTGGAAATTATGTGTAACAATCTACCTAAGTATTTCTTAAAATGTAACAAACAAAAGGTATTTATGAGTTGATCAAATCATAATTAACGTTGTTCCAAAATTATTATGCTTTTAGTACCTATAAAATAATATTTGAATAACCATCATGTTTTTGGGAATAACATACTCTATGCAACATATCAATGAAAACAATAATAATTGGCATTTCAAATATACTTACAGTATTAAAATATATAAAGAACAAATGTTTTTCTTATATCATAGAAAATTATTCCATTACTATTCATCTAAACTATTCTAAATTAAGTTTGAACAATTAAGTAACTTGTATAACATACTTGAAAAGACTGTAATTATTAGGTTCATCTAGACCACCAGCAATGAGAACAGCTACTACAAGACCATAAATGGCTATGATACCAGCCATGACAACAGGAATGATAGATTTCATAATAAGTTCTGGCCTCATAACAGACATTGCTGCAATTCCTGTTCCTGACTTTGCTGTGCCATATGCTGCTCCTAGAGCTGGAAGTAAAACAGGTATGACATTGTATTTAATTTCATTTATCTGCATTTATCGTTTAAAGATTTATGTTATAATTAAATACATCATTGTGCAATTGTACAACATATAGTTTTTCATATAATATCCAATAATTCAGACAGATTGTAATGCTCAATTATTCAGACATTGTAAAAAAGGTTTTATCTATAACAAAATAAAAATTTTATATTTTATATTTTGATAGGTATTTTAGATGAAATAAAAATTAACTAATAATTTAATATTATCAAGATTAATATTTTCAGGTGCGATTATTTAAACATTTTTCGTCTAATAACGAGATGCTAAACAGATCTTCAAAGTACATAGGGGGCATTCCCTAGACATAAAGACCTATCGATCCCGTTTAATATTGATCTCTAATGAGAAGGTCACGGACCCGAATTCGATGATATTACTAGACATCATTTCTTTCATTATTTCAAATTTGTATATGTTAGAAACGAAAAATTTCAGGTAGTGTCATGGCAAATTATTTCGTCGTGACTGGAAATCGTAGTCACATGATTCTCACGTTGGCAGTCACATGATAATCATGTAAGTCCCATCCCGTGAGTAGGGGGGCGTGGCACGACCAGATAATTCTTTTTTTCTTTTTAATTGATACCTTAGTTTGATCATAAGAAAGTTCATGTTTTAAATGATGGGTCTTAAAAGCATATTCATTATACATCTATATATATACATATATACATACATTATATATATATATATAAAAATGCACACAATTATCTTGGGTACGCGCGCGCACACATGCATGGTGTGTGTGTGTGTGTGTGTGTGTGTGTGTGAGAGAGAGAGAGAGAGAGAGAGAGAGAGAGAGAGAGAGAGTGAGAGAGAGAGAGAGAGAGAGAGAGAGAGAGAGAGAGAGAGAAAGCGGAAAGGAGTAAGAATGAAAACAGAAATGTTAGATTTCTGGACAAGTAAGATAATTCTATTTGGATCAGGATCAAGATTTTTCATGCATTCCAAACTCCTCGTGCTTCTGTTCGTAGGTCAAGCTTTCCTCGTGTGTTGCCGTCCATTCAAGACTGGCGCACACGGGAAAAGGGATTCGTATTGATTTCCTTGATAGGGACCCACCAACGACGCTTCAAAGTTTAAGTTAGCGGGTCTTAAACATGTCTTTTCTCTTAATGTTACAAGAGGGTATCGGAAAATTTTGAAAATTGAATTTAAACCGAGATCGATAGTTAGTAATATATGTAGCTATATCTGGTGGAATCTTCCATCGATCCCCATAAATCCTGTATTAGCTACTTCTCGTACCCATGAATCAATACATATTAATCTTTATTCAAAAAGTATTCAATGAGGTCAGCATTGTGAAATAATAGTCGGTATCCCAGCCTCCAAACGCGGTGCATAAAAGTTTCTCTCGTAATGTAAAATTAAGTTAGTTGGACTGCATTTACGGAACATTACGAAATCCTAGATCTATGTGTCTAGAAAAATGGCGTTTCAAAATTGAATCTTTATCCTTGACATCTTCGGTACTTCAGATTAGAACACACCTGTATCGCTTGTGCTATATTATATATCAGCGGGTGACAGACTTGACAACGATAAAATATACCGAAATAAATTTATGAGATCGCGAAAATATGCATTTAATCTCATTGATCGTTCGCATGTAGCTTATCAGTAATGATCAAAGAACAGATAAGTTATATCACGAACGATTAGAGAAGTTAGATATTAGTCGAAACTAATTGTACAACAAAATTGGTTAATTCTTGAAGTTTATTCTGTTTTTCCATACTTTATGCCATTTACAATAAAGAAAATGGCATGCCTATGATAGAACTGCCAATGTTAGGATACGTTTTTATAACAATTGTGTTGTATCCTTTATTGTACAAGCTACAAATCATTGCATTCGCGTTCTGTTCGTTTAAGTGTTCAAGCTAAATTCAAACAACTGAAACTCACCAGAAAATATAATGGCTGAGGCGGCGCCCATTACCCCAAAGAAGGGCGCGTAAACCGGATTTTTGTCTGCGAATTCGTTCATCATTGCAATGTGTTTAAGACTCGTAGGTCAAATCGATCACGAGTATTTACAGGTTGTCGAAACACGAATGTCGGATGAAGAACAATCTTCACGCACTCACTTCGCTAAACTAGTGCCACTGTCAAATATGGCCTACCGTACGGGAGTGCAGGTCATGTGACGAGTGACGAGTGAGAGAAGAAGAGTCTGCCGAAACTCAGTAATGTCTATTCGCTTGCTATTGGCTTGCGACTGCGGGCTACAGCGTTGCAAGCGAATCCTGTGGCGTCTTTCATCTTTTATATCTGACGTCAGCCGCGCTATATGTTCTCTATTCGACCATTGCGCATCTTTATTGCGCAAGCTTTTGCTTTTTGGAGCGCGTGACACGCGTTTCCTGTACTTATTTGCGTTTTGTATTAATTTCTGTGATTTTGATTCATCTAGAAATGCATTAAATATTTTTTTCGAAATCTCATTTATCACTTAAATGTATCGTACAACATTTACAACAAACTTTGAGGTTATTCTATTAAAATGCATTTAAACACGTGACTCAATTTAAATGAAGGTATAACGTTGCATTTTCAATAAAAATATTAGTTAAAGTTGGCATGACTTTTTAATATTTATTGCTAAATATCAAATATTCTTTCCATGATCGTATGGCAAACATACAAAAGTTCCAATAAAAATTTAATATTTATGCATGATAGCTGATCTGCCTATTTTGATCTTTACCATTTGTTTTAATTTAATTTGTTTTATGACCATAAATTTTGTATGTTATGAATAAATTTTTAAATAAAAATTTTTATTATATACATAAAATGAAGTAATACGAAATGTATGAAGTAATATAAATTATTGTAATAAGTTTTTATAAAATTTTCTGTGATATTCTTAAATATGTATATACATATTAAAACAGTATTAATCATTTTATTACTATTTATTATTATATTTACTTATTAAATTTCGTAGAAAGTTTCTGAAATTTTGAGCCAACACCTTAATTTTAACACGTGATCGCATATATCGAGCGGAAGTTGTATTGTAGGGGTTGTAATGTGCGTGTTTCAAATATGATGTTAAATGTGTTTAATAAAATGGAACAATATTTGTAATAAAAAGTTACATATGTAATTGAATTTTTAAACATCATGAAGTTTGCATATAAGGTAAATAGACTATATTTATAAAATAAACATCTGAAATATATAGAATAAATATTAGAATTATTTATATAGTATTTCTAACCTAATCTTATAATGCCTAATTCTTAATTTTCCAGTATGATAGTCTTAATTTGTAAATCTGATGAAATAGAAGTTTATATTTTATGACAATTTATACAGTTGACATGGTTAACAACAAAAGATTAATAAAAAATAATTTTGAATTCTAATTAAATTAAATTAAATTATTTCTTACTGACAAAATATTAATTATATATTGTTTACAGTTTAGTAATTTGCTTGGTGCAGTTTATCGTAAAGGAGATTTAATATTTTCTCCAGATGGATCATCAGTTATAAGTCCTGTAGGAAATCGAATAACAATATATGATTTAAAAAAGTAAATATACCTAATTTCTTAAACATTTATACAAATGATTTGCATAATATTTTTAATTCATATTTGAAAAAAAAATTATTTTCAGTAATAAGTCAAATACATTGCCTGTAGAAAGTCGATATAATTATAGAAACATTGACTTATCGCCTAATGGAACATTATTAATTGCAATTAATGAAGGTATAATGTTTTTATGTACCTTATATAGGTGATGTTTGTCCTGAAGTTTAAGTATAAGTATTTACTTAATAAATTTGTTTACAGTGGGTGAAGCTCATATAATTAGTATGATTAGTAAAATGGTAATACATAAATATAAATTTAAACAACGTACTAGATGCGTGAAGTTTTCTCCAGATGGCAAACATTTTGCAGTATGTAAAGAAAATAATGGTATATATTTTAATGATTTATATACTTAGTTTTTTATAAATTTAAATTGGTTAAAGAATTAAATTAATGACAATTATTTTTTTAGTTTTTATCTTTAATGCACCTGGTTTGCAAACTGGTGAATATAATCCATTTATTATGGAACGTGTATTTCATGCATCCATGAATGACACAACCTGTATTAATTGGTCTTTTGATTCAAAATTATTAGCTGTTGGTTCTAAAGACATGTCTACCAAAATTTATAGTTTAGAAAAGTATGCAAACTTCAGGTATATTAGTCTTGGGGGCCATTTTGATGGAATTGTAGCATGTTTTTTTGAAAAAAATAATTATGATTTATGTACAATTAGCAGGTATGTATTTTGAATGTGATTTTTATAAAAACATTTTGTTATAAAATAATTATTATACATATGTGTTGTAAAGAAATGGACACCTTTGTATTTGGGAATGTGCAATTGATCCAGAAGATTTAATGCCATGGGAACCACCTCCACTTAAGAAAGACAAAAAAACAGATAGCGATGAAGAAGATGATGTCAATATTGAAAAAGCCATAGAGAAAACAGATAAACAGGCCAAAGTCTATGAATATAATTTAGAAAAATCACGTAATTCTTTTTTATAATTTTGTACAGTAGATATGAATAAATAGTGTCAAGTATAACATAAAATACATAATACAGTTTGTATTTTACAGGAAATTTACCTGAATCGGATGTAAAGAATATTGAAAGTGAGACAGAAATTAAACAATTACGTTACACTAAATTGTGTCGTCACTACTTAGCTAATGAGGTTCAAAAACAAGAAGAAGGAAAAATAGTGCTTACTGCTGCTGGATATCATCAGCAAACAAATATTTTAGTTGTAGGATTTAATAATGGTTCATTTTACTTATATGAAATGCCAGATGTAAATATGATACACTCTCTAAGGTATTGTTTAATTCTATATATTATATATATAGAATAATTAAAGTATATACTATCATCCAAGAGTTCAGAGTTCAGAAGTCTGTATTAAGAGTTCATTATTTTACTTATTACATGATTAAATTTATTGCTTAAATTTAGAATACTTTCAAAACGATTATTTTTTCTCAGTATGAAATATTAAAAATGCGAAATTATATAAATTTACAAATTATAACTGATAGTAATTATATATTTTTAATATTAATATAATTTATCTTAAATAACATATATTTCTGTTATTTTGCAGTATATCAAACCAATGTATTTCATCAATTGCTATAAATACGACTGGTGATTGGATAGCCTTAGGATGTTCTACAGCTGGTCAATTATTAGTATGGGAATGGCAAAGTGAAACTTATGCCATGAAACAACAAGGTCACAGTAATAATATGAACTGCTTAGCATATAGCCCTGATGGCCAATATATTGTTACTGGAGGCGATGACGGGAAAGTTAAATTATGGAATACAATGAATGGATTCTGTTCTATTACATTTCAAGAACATATGTCTACGATAACAGGAGTCGCATTTAGTCATAATAGGAAATTTATTGTTTCTGCATCACTTGATGGAACTGTTAGAGCATATGACTTAACAAGGTATAGGAATTTTCGAACTCTTACTTCCTTGCGACCAGTACAATTTTCCTGCGTTGCTTTAGATTCAAGTGATGAGTTTCTTGCAGCCGGTGGCCAAGATTTCTTTGAAATTTATTTATGGAGTATGAAATTGGGTACACTTCTAGAGGTATATTTCTGATAAATATTTTTAAATTAAATTCATTGAGGATTGATATTCTTAGTCGAATTTTATTTTAAGTAAATAAATCTATTTTGGAAATCTCTAATCAAATTAAAAACCCGTGAATATCAGGTCGAAATCAAGAAAATAACTTATAACAAAATATCAAAATTTTTGAAATTTAAAAAATTTCTGAAAGTATTTGCTACTATCTTAGACAAAAATGTGAATTTATGACTTTGATTTTCAAAGTATAAATTTACTCGAATAATTAAGAATTATTGTTTAAATATTATCATTATTATATATATTGTATACATTAGATATTAGGTGGTCACGAAGGTCCAGTCGTTAGTTTGGCATTTAATCCAAATACTGCATGCACAGAATTAGTATCTGTATCTTGGGATAAAACTTTGAAAATATGGAATGTGATCGAAAACGGCTCTTCACATGACACAATACAATTAACTGCTGATGGTATATATGTAACATATAAACCAAATGGGGAAGAAGTGGCAGTTGCAACTTTGGATGGGCAAATCTCGTTTTTTCATTGTAAAACAGCAGTACAAATTGGTAGCATTGAAGGGAGGAATGATTTAGGTAGTGGAAGATCTGATACTGATCTTATTACGGCTAAGAAGAGCCTAAAGGGAAAGTAAGTATTTCCATAAATCTAATTGGAAACTTTTATCATATACAATGATATAAAAGTAATTTAAACCAAAATTAAAATTACATTAATGAAATTAAATATTTAGGGCCTTTTCTACTCTTTGCTATTCAGCTGATGGTATGTGTATATTAGCTGGTGGTCAATCCAAAAATATATGCATTTACAATGTACAGGAATTTATACTCATAAAAAAATTTGTAATAACACAGAATAGGTCATTAGATGCAGTTGATGTAAGTAGTTTTTTTACATTAATTCTAGATTAATATTGATCTAGAATTATATTTATTAATATAAAATTTATATATATCAATATTTATTTATTTTTCGAGGGAAAGTATTATTTTTTTAATAAAAATTAATTTTTTCATAGGACATTATCAATAGACGAAATTTAACAGAATTTGGAAATTTAGCATTAGTGGAAGAACGTGAAGAAAACGAAGGGGGAAATGTAAAGTTACGATTACCAGGCGTTAGAAGTGGAGACATGGCAAGCAGAAACATAAAACCGGAAGTCAGAGTTTATAGTTTACAGTTTTCTCCAACAGGTTAAATTTATTTTAAAATTTATTCCAAACTATTATTATGGAGTAATTTTAGTAATTGTATGTTTTTCGTTTGCAGGACAAGCTTGGGCTGCTGCAACGACAGAAGGATTATTAATATATTCGTTAGATGCTGGATTAGTATTTGATCCATTCCAGTTAGAATTAGGAATTACACCAGAAACCGTAAAAAAAATTTTGAATGAAAAGGAATATGGAAAAGGTATTAATATTTATACATAATTTTTCATTTTACCAGGATGAAAAATATATTAATATAAAATTTTTCAGCATTAATGATGGCTTTGAAACTAAATGAAAAATTGTTAATAAAATGTGTTATAGAAAATATTCCATGTTCAGATAGTAAGTTAATAACAATTTATTAATATGTTATTACATATGTAATATATATACATATACATATTTATTTATTTATTTTAGTATATTTAACAGTGAAAGATTTATCCGACATTTATATTGAGAAAATTTTGAAATTCATAGCATCAGAGCTAGAGTTTACGAGGCACATACATTTTTATTTTCTTTGGATAGAAATTATATTAACCAACCATGGACCAAGGATAAATACGGCGCTTCAAATGCCGATATTATTGATATTACAAAAAAACATGCAAAAAAAATACGATGATCTGAGCAAAATGTTGGTATATAACTTGTATTAATTAATTAATTAACAATTATTAATATTTTTTGTTCTATTGCAGATGTGACTTTAATCAATACACAATGAGTTATTTAAAAAAAGTTGCAGATTATAAAGCGAAAAAAGTACTTTCTTATAAGGAAAAAATGGAAACTGATGATGAATTTGAAAACTCTTCAATAGAAGAAATAGAAATTGACTAATATGTATGGTATTAATAATAAAATTTGGCAATGAGAATTTTTCGTATAAATATTGTATGTATATAAACATTTTATACGCATGTACAAATTATATATCAAATTTTTATTATAGTTTAAATTTGGAATAAATTCATTAATTATTCCTTAAGAATGTTTGTTTTATTTGTTAGTTTCATTCAATATATGCTTATTTCAATTTATCAAATAACATATATTTAAAAAACATATGTATTCAAATTTCTGTAATTTAGTACTTATAATTTAAAGTTATTTATATATTTATATTTATATTTTAATCATATAGTACATGTATACAATAATTATTCTTCCTAAAGTATTGTAATTATGAAAAGTTCTTTATAACAGTGATAATTTCACTGAGTAGTAATTTGTATATTTTTATTCAATTATATTATATTGTTATAAGTTTAGGTTGCTTTTTTAAGTAAAAGTATTGGCCAATATAAAATGATGAATAGCATAAACAATATAGGAAAACCTATCCTACTATAAGTGTCAATTCTTTGTGATCGTGTTTTGCATATACGTATCATTGAATATTCGGGATCTAGCCACGCGTTTTGCAGAAGATGTTTACTACCAGCTCTTTTATTTCTTGCCTTTGGTATATAAGTTGAGTCATAATCCCAAATGCTTTGACCTTTCTCCATGGCAATTATACGCTAAAAATAAAAAATTTGCGTTTACATTAAAAGTAATGTAATATTATCTGTGGTGATATTTAACTTAATTTTAGTATAATATTTAATAAAAATGATTGAATAAATCATTAAATTATTAAAATAATTAATATATAAAATATAAATTACTGAATACAAATTAAATAGAAGTCCAAAGAACATGTTAATATAATAAAAATTGAAATTTTAGTAAATTTTAACAAAGTTAGCATCGTAAAAATATTCGTTTTGTAGAAATTATGTCAATAAAGAATTAATCAATAAGTTGGAAGAATTTGTAAATATGTTAATATTAAAAGTGAATAATTTTTTCGGTATGAATATTTAGTGACGTGAATTTTATCTAATTTTCGTTGAATTTCGATTTTTGTTATATTAACATTTTATTGTAAAATAATATGCTTTGAAAATTTAGTCATTCTAATATACAATATTCTTTGTAAGAATTTCATAAAATGTAGTATAAATAAATAGCAACCATTTAAAGTCAACAGTAGGAAGGTTACGAATATTTCTGTGACTCACTGTTTATAAATATTATCATGTTGAGGGCCTTACAGACAAAATTAATTCATTAACAATAAAAATAACAAAGATGGTAATGTTATTTAATTTATCTCATATCCTGATATAAATGTGATAAAGAAATTTAATGAAATCTAGCACAAGAAAATCGAATTTTATTTTTTTATGTTTTGTTTATTTTTTGTTGTATTTTATCTGTCGTAAAGCTTGACGTATTTATTGACTCTTTTAATTGTTAAGCCTAGATTTTCTGATTGATTATAGGAACTAACCTTCAATAACGCGCGCGCTTATATAAGGTGTTAAATAATTAAGTATCTACGTAAGATTGGAAAATTGAATGCAGTATAAAATGGGATAAATATAATCACTTTATGTTGATGCCAAAGAAATCTGATAAAGTTCTATGATGTTGTTGCTGAAGGAAAGTAAAAGTTTCATGAATATGAAAGAAGTAATAGAAGAATATCGTCTACTGCTGTTTAAACATAGCTAGTGAAATATTTATAAAGAAAAAAACATATTGAAAAATAAATTCATTATTCTACTTGTATTTATAACAATAATACAAAATTGTTATACAAACTGTTGAGTAATGTCGAGATATTATTGACGTTTGTAGATCGTATTCTAACTGGTATCGTAAATCGAGTACTTTAACCACAACAAATTCGCCAAGGGCAGCAAATACAAACATCATGCAGCCTGCCATCCAAACATCCAATGCCTAAACATGATAAATGATACATTAGCACATTATTTAACACTTAATTTTTAATCTATACAGGAAATAATAATGTTTACGAATATAGAATAAATTAATTTTATATTTTTATTTTCATTTTGCATTATGTGTTACTTTTTTTTAAAATTAAATATAGTTATTTTCTTTTCTTGCATAAGAAATTTTGCATAATCTATGGCCGAATTAAATTACGAACTTTAGAAGCTGTCAAATTTGCGTTAGTTAAGTTAAATTATATGATTAAAGAAAATGTGCAGAACATTTACATTATTTTATATTTATTATTTATATATAATTATGTATATAAAATATATACATACTTTATAAATATATGCGTATTGTACTTCATTCTCCTTATTTTAAGTATATGTGTTCACGCATGTTAAGAACACTCTGCGTGTGTGAGGAAAGCAATGCAGGCACATACACATATGTATACTTCTATATAACACATGTGCATACATAAACGCGACTGACGTCTATAGGAAATTGCACGTTTACAAATGAAAAAGTATTTACTGCTAAAACGATTAATAGATTTGTAATATTAGTGAAAGAACCTACTTTCACATAAGCAACTGGAGGTATATCGCTTTTTAGACCAGTAAACATAGTAACCAATGTCAACATACTGGTCACCAGAAGAGCCACTCGACCAGGAATCGCATCTAATCCCAACCAGAAGCTAAACCAAGATAACATTACTACTAACGTGGATGGGGCGAAAGTTTGTATTAAATGATGACCAATTTGCCTCTCGAACCGGAAGAAAACCATCAGCCGTGAGAAATTTCCTATGAAATAATTGAACATATGTTCTCCATGGTATTTGAACACAATATACATCGAAACGAACATCTTACCATTTTTCTCCAGCATATAATCAACAGTTTCTTCAGCAACTACCGGCTTCCCGATGTCGTATTGTAGAAGCTTCAATTCGGGGTTCACCGTAACTGCACCCAATCCCCATCGCAAGCGTAACTTCTGTTCGTGATAGGAAACTATTGCGAGTAATGCAGTTTTCCAAGTTAATGCTGTGCACTATCGAGTTTGGAATTATTGGATAAAAATGGATCATAATTTATGGGTAAAGATGTTTCAAGAACCTGCAGTATGGTTATATAAAACGAACTTAAATGATCGGCATATAGTAATATACTATTCCAGCAACGGTAGTACAACCCAGAAAGGGGTAATACTACATGAAAAAACAAATCGAAAATAAAGAATAAAATTTTTGTATTCGAAGCTTCGTTATCGAGAAAATCGATTTTGAATATCCACCGAGTACGCGTGCACTCCATCCGCCTCAATCATAGTTAAGTGCACGCGTACTCGGTAGATATTCAAAGTCGATTTTCTTGATAACGAAGCCTTGAATAAAAAAATTGTATTCTTCATTTTCGATTTGTTTTTCCATGCAGAAATACTATTTCCTCAGTTGTACCACCGACGCTGATGTATCGATGGTCTATCTTATTTGAATATTTGAATTCTAAATTATTCCTGTAGCAGTTACTTTCTGTTAGACTTTTAATTATGCCTTTATGATGACTTTATTTTTAATTATAACTTCTAATTCATTGTTTTCTCTTTTTTACAGAAGTAAATTTGGCTTCTTGCTGGTATTACGTATGTGTTTAAACGATAAAATTAAAGAAAATTTTTGAGTTTTTTACATTATATAACAAATTACATAACATGAAAGAAATGTAACAAACGAATAAGAAGATTGAGTTAAGAAGCAGGTGTTTCTGCCGTGATAGTCCACGTGTACATAAATAGAACTTAAGTGAGTTCCATTTCGTTTCATTTGTCATTGAAGTTTCAGATATAAATTGCAATCTGTTTCAACAATGATTTACTGCTACATTGCTGTAAGACTATTGTGATACATTTCAAAGACTAGAGTGTACATACATATATATATTTCAAAAATATTACTGAAGCAAAGTACGGTTAATTGAAGAAAATATCAAGAATGCAGGTGGTAACAAATATATTGTATTAAAATATTCATCTGAAGCTTGTTTTATCATAGAACTCACAACTTTCTATGTAGATAGGGCATATCTGAATGTCCATCGGGTAAAGCTGAAATTCCATTTGGCAGGCGATGATAGCGTGCATTCGAGCCGAATATTTGACCGTCTTGTTTCTATACAACGTAACCGAGGAGAATTTGTGATTTAACGCTGCGATTTCTGAAAAAAGAAAAAAAGGAGAAAAGAACGTGATTTTAATTTAGGTCTACGCTCAAATAAGATGTTTAATCAATGCTTCGAACGTGCATTTAAAATATTTCCACTATCATCGAAAGCTTCAAAAAAATGGTAGAGTGAATCGAAGTATTTTTGAGGAAACGTAATTCATAAACGCCATTTTAAAATAATTTAAAAATCGCTACAAGGTTATTTCAAAATTATTAAAGGTAACAAAGTCACGAGCTTCTTTTTAATATAATTTCGAAGTTATTTTAACATCACTTCAAGATCATTTTAATGTTATTTCAGATTTGTGTCCAGGTCATTTTGATTATTTCTCTTCTATTATTTCTTTTTACCATGATCTCAAGATCATTATGGATTTTTAAATACATCGTGTTATGTTCATGGAAATCCAGGTTTTACATATTCAGCATGCACAACGTATGGGTTAGCTAAATCGAGATCGTCATCAATTTTTGGATGACTATAATACATGACACAGGTATATTAAGCGTTTTGTGAAATCGCGATATAATATTAACAAATTTCAATTGGAAAATTGAAAAAATAATGCATAAATCTGTCTGTGTCATATTAATTTATTTGTATCTCTTTTTTAAATCAAGTGGATAATAAAATCTCTGAGAAGCTTTCTGTAAGTTTAACGTTCAATGTTTATAAATGTTTAATAGTATGAACCACTGAACTATAAATGTTTAATAGTCGATAGTAAATTAAAAATATTGATTCGACTTTTATTTTGCTATTTGAGCTTCCTTTCGGAGTTATAATAGATCAATAATAGACTAAATATTTAATAATATTTATAAAAAGAAAACTCACCAGAAACTTTTGCATTTAAAAAATAGGGATCTGGTTGCCATAAGCTGTCGAAAAATTCGGGAGGCAGCGTCACATAGTCATCACCCTCCTCGAAAATTTCTTCTGGCATATCGAGTCGAGACTCTATCCAACTCTGACGAACGAACATATCCACTCTATTTCATAAGCAATTTGTTAATTTTGCAACAGTCGTTCGATAAACAAATAAGAAACAGCATAGTGGAACGATATGAAATAAAGAAGATTGTATTTATCAATTGAGGTATTATTAATTTCATTTTTTAATTTTTTAGTTTTATTAGATAATTAGAATTTTAAATGTTTTTATTTTCTTTAATTATATGAAATGCATATAATTCGCAGCAAGTACTTATATACATTTAATTTAAAGGGCAAAATGCATTGGTCAATTTTCTTCGTAGAATACATTTATTTTAAATATCGATGTAATCAGTCGATTTAATACATCGTTATAATTATAAACAAAAGAAAGAATGAATATAATTTCTTAATAATGAAAATTCAATTAGTAATGAACGAATTCAAGTATCATTTTATTAGCCATCACTGACTCACCGGAAATCCATATCTTCTACATTAATAGAGTTGATATCAGCTACGAAGATATTGAAATCCACTATCACTGGGAAACCTTTCTTCGATGGAGGTCTGATCTCTGCGTTGTTTTTCTCATTAATTTGCACGTTAATTATACAATCACACATACAATCATACAAACCACGCATATACAAGGTGTCACATTGAACATGATCAATTAAAATGGCCTCGTTGGTTTAGTAAGAGATGAGAGACGTATCTCTCTCATCACTCAATGATCTTTTTATATGTCGCAGTGACTTACTTATTTTTTTACAACTTTTCATCCAAAAATCATGAAAATTGAAGCAATATAAGAACGTGCAGCTTATGCCATACATATTGAATCGTGGATTCAATGATATTCAATCGTGAAAATGAAAGATTAATCTGAATATCGTAGACTTCGAAGTTGGTACAGTAGTTCCCGCTTAACCGTCGCACAGTCGCGAGTTATCCGGGCAGGATAGAATAGAATTATTTGGTTTTCTTCGATTAACTTATTACGGGTGAAATAGAAGAAATTAGCTGAAGCGGTTTGAGGAATTCCTGGAGATAGGTTCGCGACAGTTAAGTGGGTGAGAGGTGCGACGACTAAGCGGGTACTGCAGTAACGATTGCAACAAATGCAACATGTGTACGTAATATGATCGCGACTTGTTCCAATCGTTCGTGTAGAAATACAGTATATTATTCCCGTTCAAATTCCAAGGAAATGATATTTCGCGGAATTGCTGACCAACCTTTGACGTAATGCTCTGGCAGGACTATCCTCGACTTTAGAGTGGAGTTCCTCGCGTCATCGACCAACAAGCTGCGACAAAATTGAACATTCGATAAAATTACAGGAAAAACGAAATAAATTTTTGAAATTTTTTTTTTTAAACTATGTAAAAACCGAAACGAATATTTGAGAAATTTTTAAACTTTTTGAAGTTTTCAAAATACTTCTTAAACATAGAAAAAAATAAACGAAATTTCTGAACAACGATTTCACATCATGCACGTAATTTCCGTATTATCTATTTTTGTCTTTGTCTCTACATTCAAGGTGTAACTTTTTGATTAGTTGTATGGACAGACAGTTTTAGTGATAATACCTCGCACAAGAACGCACTTCCGCAAAGAGTTTCAGGCATGAGTAAAAGAGTACTGCCAGGACCGTGTTCTTCATCCTAAGATTTCGACAACTGCCGATACGTTTTGACCAACCATTCTATCGGCTAAGATGCGTTCCAATTAATCTATTACAATGGCAGTTACACGCAATCTACTTCAATTGCAAATATCGTCGAATATCTATGGTCCAGTAGTAGTCATTACCTTTCTTAGAGTTGCGCAACTTAGAGCTGCGGTCGAGGTTACACACCCAGCGATACTTGGTTAAACGTAGTGAAATTTTTTCCAAATTATTGTCATTTTGCGCATGGTATCGACGTGTTCCATCTTTGTTATATAATAGATTCAATTTCATGAAGATTTACAAATTTCTTTTGGAAAATCACAAACTTATTCTTAGTGTACCCTTTTTGCAAAAAAAGTGTACTTCTTTGCAAAAAAGAGGTGTACTTCTTTATAAAAAAGAAAAAGTGTAGAATTCGTTTTGCATTTTATTGGGTTAGGTTAAAAAGATTCATAGCATTTTTGATAATATTGATAATAAACAGAATTGTTTTTAAACTGATGTTAAAGAGTATTGGTGGAAGGTATGGAATCTTATTTAGGATTTTATTATTTACAATTGTATGAGTAAACACTAATTAAAAGTAATTCATTGTTGAAAACAAAAAATTTCAAAAATGTGTCTCACGATATTACTCAGTAGATAACAAATACTAGTTATTTGTGAGTCAGTAATGATAAGAGAAGAAAAGACAAAAACTTAACAATAAAGCTTCTTAATAAGTGCATGATTGATTGAAGGATGTATTTATACGAGAAAGATAATTTTAAGTAAAAATTTTCGAAAGAATTTCTTTAGTGTAGATTTCTCTAATAGCGAGTACGTAGAAACCTGTTTTAATAATATCAACTTATTTTATTTCTATCTTTCAGACAGTTTATAAAATTCATTGTTTCTTATGTCTTTAATTTTCGATGCTTTCATGATGTTGCAGTAAAAGAGAAATCAAAGAAATAAATATCGAGAGAAACGATATTTGTATAACGAGATGAAAAATATCCGTGGTTTATAATTAGTAGCGAGTAACAATCGGTAAGTCCTGTTAGTAGGTTCGTGTCTTAGATAAAAATGCAGTACAAGCTTATAATTAGACTTACGAGAAAATTATATATTAGTGTAAAGGGTATAAGGTAACTATATTTAAAATTAAAATTAGAATGAAATTAATTGGGTTAAATTATATATTATATATTAGTGTATAGGGTAACAAGTGAAAGATCAATATATATTGTATGGTATTGTATCGTACAGTGACATCGAGAATTTAATTAAACCTTGATATCTCGTTCTCAATAACAATCGATATTTTATAATCTCACATTTCCTGACTAAAGATAAAACTCTCACGTGAACAATAATTGTCACTTGAATTACGGGTCTCTTACTATTTATCGACACGTAGACGTACTTTATGATTTGAAGACACGACTATAGAGAGCGTCGGTAACACTAACTTTTATAGGTTGAGTAATATAGTGTGTCCCAAAATTCACGCAAGATTTAAATTTTCCGTCATTTGTACAGTAAAGTATTACCAACGATAAAAAAAATACAGTGTGGCAATTGACAGTTTAGGCTTATTAAAAATGTAACGCAATACGAAAGTATAACGCGCTTTCATTGTTGAGCAATATTTACAATTCTTTATTAAAAACTTTATTAAAAATTTTCTATCAAAATTATTCGCGTGAATTTTGGGACATTCATTATATATCTCAGTACTTAGTTTAATCTAGACAAAGACACGTATAAAAATATGCAAATATGGTGTATAAGTATAAAAAATTGAAAATTTTTGGATTCTTTAGAAGAATCTTTAGACTAACTTAAAGACGCATGCAAGTAATGGTGAACTTTGGATCATGTAACATCGAATCTGCATTGAAATATATTATAATCAAGCATTGTCAAACATTGTCAAACGAGTATTAAATGACAAGTGATTTTTTATTTGCAATATCTTACTGAAATTAATTGACTTAAATTAATATATCGTTTAGTAAATAGAGATAAAGATAAAATCTGTATTTACTGACGTAGCTCTATTGCTCGCGTAATTCATACAATGAATTGATCACGTATTTTATCGATTGTGATTAGATTACGACTTTTCTTTCAATGATAAAGTATAATTAATCGCTTTCAAACAATTGATAATATTCCACTTCCAAACAAAGAATTTTTCAAAGAAGAAAATAAAAGAATTTCGATACATTTATTTCACGTATTTTATCGATTGTGATTAGATTACGACTTTTCTTTCAATGATAAAGTATAATTAATCGCTTTCAAACAATTGATAATATTCCACTTCCAAACAAAGAATTTTTCAAAGAAGAAAATAAAAGAATTTCGATACATTTATTTCACGTATTTTATCGATTGTGATTAGATTACGACTTTTCTTTCAATGATAAAGTATAATTAATCGCTTTCAAACAATTGATAATATTCCACTTCCAAACAAAGAATTTTTCAAAGAAGAAAATAAAAGAATTTCGATACATTTATTTCAGAATTTAACGAAACAGTTTCCCCTTGCGATAATTATCATATCAACCAATAATCCACCTTAACACATTGACTGTCATGGTGATCATCAGCGCTTGTCTCCTCAGTGGGCCAAGGTAGTCACCACTGTCCGGCGCTACCAATTTTCCAAATTTATATTTGTTTAATTCCAACCATTTTTTGAAAATTTCAACAACGTAAATAAATAGGGAACTTTGAATAGAAAACATTAACAATGTCCACCATTTTTGTTTCTTTGCCATATTGTTTGATAATTCGTTATTGTATTCTAAGAATAATGGAAATTAAATGGTCCCTCGAGCGTACCAGTCAAAGTGTCAACCATTTCCTAACTAAATTTCCCAGATGATAAAAAACTAGCATACATTGACTGAAATAAGAATTTCATGCCTACCAAATAACCATTTCCTTTCTCCATAATAATCATTCCCACCCTTCTAAATTTTCGAGCTGCGTACGAACTAATAACTATCCTCGACATACATACATGTAATTCTACTCAAGCAACAAGAAACCTCAGTCAATCAATTTCACTCAAGATCTACGTCCGCTGCATTCTCTCTACTTCCATTCTCTCTACGCTCTCACAAATCTCGATAAGCTATACGGAGCGAAATAAAGATGAACAACGCGAGATCCCGACGATAACCGCGGGTGTTATCGTATACAGTCTTTTCAGCTACTCAACAGTAATAGATTATCTCCGAAACACAATGATAGTGGAATATCAGATAGTGAGGGAAGGGGGAGAAAAACAGTAGAGAGAGTGAGTGGTCGTCAAAAAGTGGCGCTTCTCGATATACGTCAGAGGAGAGTCCGAGATTCCGATCTTCCGACTTCTCCGTGGAAACTCCCCTTCTCCAGGATCTGACTCTCGTGAGAAGACAACGGTACCAGCATCATCCACATGCACTGCGATTAGACGTTACAGTGGTCTAAAACACGACCTCGATCGGCGACCTCGATGAGTTCTCTCGTCCACTTTTCCCTGGCTTCTCCTCGTAGCTCAATTTGACTCTATTTGTCGTCCCGGTATAATCTGAGCAATGCATCGAACACGAATTCATCACAGAGCTTGTAATTCCAATTGCTATAGGAACTTTGTCTCTGTCGAGATAAGATCGTAACATAGCTGTGCAATATGTACCAACGATTGTATGAAACAGTATTACTTAACATCATTTAATGCATCCGAATAATCCTTGAATTACGTTTAGGTTATGTTTATTTACGTATGCTAGTCAAAACGGTAAATTACTTTCAGTATGTAATAATTTTGATAGAAAACAAACGAATCTTCGTTATTTTTAAAATATTGCTCAATAATAAAGACGCGTTGTTCTTCCGTGTACCACCATTTTTAGTAACCCTGAACTGTCAGCTGTCACGCTGTCTTTCTTTTTTCGTTGGCAATATTTTACCGCGCAAATGGCGTGAAATTCAAATCTTGCGTGAATTTTGGGACATTCTTTATATGTACATATTTTGCTCTTAAGCGAAGATATTTTAGAGGTTATGTAGTTAAATTCTTTCTTTTAAATTGTTATAATTAATGAATGATCGTGTTACGATAATTTGTGAGGTAGAAGTGTGATTATGTGATATAATAAAGTCTGGATTATATGGAATAATGTGGATATACGATAATTAGGGAATTGAATCGAACGGATTAGGTTAGAATTAACAGTAATACCAAACCCGATTTAAAATTTTGGTTTCATTTTGTAGTATATTTTACTAATTTCCGTGGATTGCTGTATCGTCTTGAATTTGGAAGGAAATAAAATTTCTCTTAAGGGGACGAAAATTTTGAATGATAATAGCGAATTATTGATATTGAGTAATAACGGAGAGGTTATAACAGTGCAAAGGATTCTTGGAGAGTACGATATACATAAAATTTAGAATAGAACTGACTTTTCTGAAATGTCTATAATAAAATTGAAAGAATTTATGAGGATAAAAATATAATAAAATAAAAATCATATATAGAGAAAATAGCATTTAAAAGCAAAAGAATCAACGACCTACATAAGAGGAATATAATTTTCTAGAAACTATTTGAAAGTCGCGGTTCGTGTCACGGACAACGATCCTTGACATACGAAAATCATCGATCACTTCTGCACACCATCTACAGAACAGTGGTACATCGATGCTGCAAGTTTTCTTGGGAAATATTCATCTAACACAATATCGAATCATTAATTTTTCAAATATTCGTATTCCTAATTTAATCACTCACGATATTACCATTTTCTTTATTTTATAACTTTCCTATCATATTGCACTTTCCATTATATTCCTTATAGATCATTCTCTTACGTAACCGTAATAGGACAAAAATTAATTATTTGTATATTTTCAATTTTTTTAAAGAAAGACGTGTCATTTATTTATCTTTACTTTATAAAAATGTATATTTAATGATATTCTAAGTGTGGCGATATTGTAGACAA